TTCTTCTCTTCTTTCTTCGTCTATTTTCCTTGGTATGCCGCGAATTAGTTCAATGACACAGGATCTCGCTCTTCGCTGGAAGCGTCGCATTCGGCGGTGCCACTCGTTGCGCCATTCGATGACGATCGACCTCTGCGTCACTGTCAGTCCACCTTGACCTCCGCCATCGCTCTCTTGGCCAAGAATCAAATATAACCTAGAAATTTCAATGGTCGTTCAGTTGCATCGATGCGTCTCGGGGCACTGTTAAATTCATCGATTGATGCATTTAAAGGTTAACACGTTGAATGCCACGGCGCACAGTGGGAAAATATCGATGCTCTGTGGCCAAAAATCAATTTTTTGTTGTTCTTAAAGAAACGAATGATTTGTTTAACCAGTTAACTGCGTTCTACGATTATACACGTCATCTTAAAGCGCAAAATGGCACTAATTTTTTCAACGATGCATTATTTATTTCCTCAGACAAATGTGTAATTCTTCTCCGTTTCGCTTTAGTTTTTCGTTACAATATATTATAGATGCATTTGCTCTGCGTTTGACAAGTATACACTTTATTATTTGATTTTATTGCGCGCACAATGAAAGATTGTTCAAACTAAATTCCACACTTAACTGGTTAATTAACACTTTATTTAGTATTTACTGCTCGTGATCGGTATAACCACTCCCAAACGTCCGATACAGTCCCCCTATCGCGTAGGAGTGTATGCTTCTACTTGTAAAGCACTATAACATTGAAATTAATGTTAAAATTAAAGAAATCTCATTATGTTGCTTTGGTTCCTTCTCTTTCAGAACAGCGTAATCTTAATAAGTTGTCAATTGTTAAGCATTCGAAATCTAAAAGCCGATTAACAAGCTTGCGATAGATAAGGTGTTAAAGATGAAATATTTACTTTATATATTAACGAAATAACAGATATAATCATTTCCCTATAAGATAATGAATAGATATAAATAATAATAAATATTCAGAGTGAATCGTATGGTTTCAACATTACGTAATGGTAATGTAGTTTGAATGAGTGATAGCAATAATCTTTAATTATTATAAGTAATCAATAAATAAACATATAAGATAATTATCATTTATTGTAGAATTTCTAAAAAATACTTCATTATTATGAAAAAATCAGTTTATCTTCACTTATTTAAACGTTACAAACTTTTAACCAAAGCTGTCATCTTGCCCACTGAGCGGCAGTCACCAATATAGCCAGAGCTTCGAAATGACAAAATATAATTATAATTTGTTGACAACTGATGTCGAATAAAAATGTTCAATAGTGTAAATAATTAGATAATAGCGTAATATAAGAATTGCAGTACCAAATAATTAATAACTCTTCTTTTTTTATTTTTGCTAGAAAGACAATAAGTGGTACATAAAACTCTGATATTTCTTGTGGCAGTCAACGTGTTAACAATTATAATTGAAATGCTCGGAGTTACCACTCGCGATTGAAAATTGACTTATTATCCAATTATCAGCTGAATTAATAATTATTTACTAAATTATCCAATATTTTTGATGTTCTCTCATTTCACTGTGATTTAATTTTATTTTATAAGAAATCTGATAACAATTTGCACTGTAAACCTTGTAGTGCTGTACCGTAGGGACTCTATGATGAATGAGTCATCCTGTAATCTTTAGTCAAGGTCACGCGAAGGACATAGGATTATAGGTCGTTGAATTCTGTTTTATATAGAAAAACAACAGCTCACAGACAGAAATATTGAAATTGAATTTTTGTTTTCAATGAAATGGTAACCGACGGAATAAATCAATGAAACGTTTGGATGAGTGATTAGATATCGTCGATAACGGCGACACCAGTTTCGAAGGAGGTGTTTCGGTTATTTAATGTACAACTTACTTATTCGGCTTGATTTTCGGGCATCTGCAAGCCAAATCGGTTGAGTGCACGTACAGGAACACGTCGCCGCGACGGATCCTCGAATTGGGGGCCTTTTTGTAAATGAAGTCGATGTTTAAGGTGAATCGTGTCCAAACTGATCCGGATACACTCGATTCACCGGGTAATCCCTCGTTCTTTTTGTGCCTGTCTGTTATTCTACCCAGAACAGCTGCGAAACGAGTTAAGAAATTAATATTCTTATTAATTATATTATTTTAACCTTTAAGTATGGAAGTCTGAATATTACCGAGTAATGTTGAATATTCTCGTTTATAATAGCTAATAAACAAATTTGTTGTATTTATTTGTTTTTACTTATTTGAATGTCTCTATATAACAATAGTATTAACTATATAACGAAAATTTCACTGGTTTCTAAATTCACGATGCTTTACGTGAGATCACACGTTCATACTTAAAGGTTAGTCAAATAATGTACTTATTTTAATAAAATAATGTATATATTATTTCAATAAAATAGTGTGCCTATTATTTTAATAACAATGTTATTTATTATTTTAAGACATACTTGACGGAATATAATTTCATTAAAGTCCATAGTTCTGAATGCTGCAAGAGTCTGCTATTCAAATGTGCATAACTATACAAAATGTCTGATAGTACTATGTTGTCAATTCTTAGCTACGGATTTGGAAATAAAATAGAATTAAGTGAACGGAATTCTTCTATTGTCACAATAGTATAATTGTAAAATAACGTAGGCTACTAGCATTACTCTAAGAAAACGTACAATAACATAAGACTACGTAGCCGGTACTTAATTAAAGAATTTAAGATGACGTAGAACTACGTCATCAGTCTTGAATGGTCTTAAAAATTCATTGCTTTTCATTGTTTTATTTAACAGTTTTCTTTATTGTCTATTTATCAATTGATTAGTACTCCACGAAATTCAGCACTCTTTTAGACACAGTTAATAATATCGTCTCAACGCGCTTTTTCATTTTTAAATTTGAAATTCTATTTCATACTAAGAATAAAAGAAATTACTATACCTGTTATTTTAAAAATAAAGCATAAAAACGAAGAATTCGTTAGAACTTTAAAGTATAATTGTATACGTACAAAGTGTTTAATTGATTTTGCTTAGCTCCTAATTAACAGTGTTCAATCGAACAAAAATTTTGTTCATGCCTTGAACGTTTTTCGTACAGTCGGTTAATGGAGATCCCCACTTCAAATAAGAATTCCAAGGATTTTCCTCGTTTAGAAGGCATAAAAGGAGTCGTTCCACTTGCAATCGTTTCGTTTGCGAACATGGAAGAGCTGGTACCACTTACGGCGACGCGATGGAAGTTATGTTACACGGTATGCAGCGGAGTCGCTTGTAATCATTTCACTTGTGATCCCGAATCAAAAACTAGTAATACCATTAGCGGTTACAGAGTGTATAAATCGCGATAGAGAGACCCCGTACTAACAAATTGCAACCATTCTAGGTACCTGGGCCCGCAAATGGTAACAGGTTGTTTCATAAGTTGTCAAGCTTCCTGCGTGTTTCGAAATGATTCATGAAAAATATGTAGAAAGATAAATTTAATCCTTTTCTCATTTTAACGATTTAATTTGTTCCGTCAAATTGATGTAATTAAGGTAGTAAGCAATCAATATGACTGGAAGATATGAATAACTAAATTTGAAAGTTTCATAATTCGGAAAATAAGAAAATTAAAATGTTGTATGTTCAGGTGTAAAATTTGCATGTGTATAGTAATAGTATATAGAATAGTAATATATAGAAAGATAAATTTAATTTATTTCTCGTTTTAACTAATTATCTAACTAATACATACCTTGATGTAAAATTGAACAATCAGTACGAATATAAGATACGAATAAATAAATTTAAACGTTCCATAATGTAACGTAAGAAAATATTGTAATAGTGGCTTTTGAATATATTGGTTTATTATTATTTAGAACTTACCATAATCTCTTTTGCAGTACTTCATGAGGTTTAATCTCTTAGTGTTGGCTCGACACTTTCCACATTGTTCTGTAACAAGGTAAAGCATGAATATAAAAGTGCTGTTCTATAAAATATAATACAATACATTCTGTTCAAGTGATTTGTATTGTGTAATTATTTTATTTAATTCATTTATGTTTAACAAAATTAATATAAACCAAAATAATATGACATTAATAGATAGATTGCAGAACTTTATGTAAATTAATAATTTCATAGGCAAATTCAAAGATACTGATATTAATTACAATTACTATTTCCATAACGAATGGTTTTAAAAAGTTGAAACTAAAAGGATAAATTCAATTAAGATTTTCATTTTGTATTTTAAATAATTCAGACGCTAATATTATTTAATAAAGTCTTAAATAGTCTTGATGCTATAAACCTCTGCAGCTTATTAATAGCTATTAAAACATACGAATTAATATTTTATAACATAATTTTATATTTTACTTTTGCAGTAGAAATAATAGCTAGGCTCTTTAAAACCTTTAAATTTGACTCGTTTATACCATAAATACAAGTCTCGTCAAATATTAATTTACGCAAGGTATAGTGACACTGTTAGAAATAATCAAAATGCGCATCAAACTTTAAAACAATGATTTGTTTTATGATTATGACAATAACATTTTTTCGTTTAACATCGATTTAATTTGATAGATAAGTTTAAAATATTCACCTTTTTTGACAAAATTTGTTAAATAATCATTCAGTTATAACAATTAAATAATTAAATAACGTTTATTTAAGAAAATACTCCGTTTTATTATATATGCGTATTACATATTGTAATTGAACAAATTAATTTGCCTTAAAAGAATGTAAACATCGGAAATAAATAGGTCTGTTTGCGTTAAAAATGATTCTTTAAATGACTATTAAATATCAGAAACTATGATTTCCATTCGAAATTATAAGGTCTATTTGAACGCTGCTAATGCCTCTTTTTCGTTTAGTTTTCTCTTCACACGTCAGTGTCAAGCTCTAGTTTCTCTTTCTTATCCGCAAACAAAAGAAACGCTTTTATTGGCTCGATTTCTCCTCATCTAATAAATTAAAACGCAAGGGACCGTGTAGGATCATTCTGATTTTCTAGTTGACTGACGCACAATGGGCGATGCTTAAACGCTGTGAATTATGAGTCATATCACTTGTAATTATATTGTTCAGCGTTCGCAGTGTAACGTTCAATGGGATTATACTGACAGGATATTGTACGTAATTAACATGTTTCATTCAAGTCAAATGATAATTTTTCATCACTGCTCTCCTTTTTCATCGCTAAAATTGTAGAAGTTGTTTATTAACGCGTTTCATAATACAGGTGTCATTTTGCTAGACCATTTTCTGTTAGTCATTGTTACTAGAATTACCGTAACTCTTAAAACAACTGGTTTTATCTTCCCAGTGTTACAATTACCGACATTATAAATATACATATATTTGCATTATTATGCAATGAATATCGCGAAGAAACTTAAACAAATATACTGCAATATATATTTTTTTATATACAATTTTTATGTAAAAGTAACGTAGGACTATGTAAACGGTATTCAGTAGAAAAATTTAAAATAACGTTACAGCACGTCACCAGTCTTGAATGGTATTAAAAATTCATTGCTTTTCATTCTTTTATTTATCAATTTTGTTATTGTTTATTTATTAACTGATTAGTATTCCGTGAAATTCAGTAGTTCTCTTCTAGACACAATTAATAATATCTTCTCATTACGCTTTTCCATTTTTAAATTAAGCTCTATAACATCAGAATTATTTAAAAATCAAACATATTAAATGATTTATTAAAAATTATTACTAAATTATTTAAAAAAACAAAATGAAAATTTTAATTGAATACATATATAAAATTTTGATAAAATATTACATATAAGTTATTTTAAGTATTCGGTAATTTAAACATTTATCTAAGTCAAACCAATTCGTTTCCTATCCTACATTCCGATGAGTTAATTTATAGTTGATTAAAACATGAAAAATAACGAGCTAATAAGACGATGTTTTACCAATGGCAATTAAAATGTTAAGAAGTTTACAAGACAGATCGAATGTAACGTAATCAAAGAAAAGAAGGTAATTCATTAAATAAACCTATAACGCCATAACATATTCGCTAGAATGTCTAAGGGAAATTCCATTCCCGCGATTCTTTATGTAGAAAATAATTGATTCCGTTCTTCTGTTTCATTTCAGAGCCAGGTAAATAACATACGCAAATCTATACATATGGGACTATAATTGAATACAAGGATTAGTATTTGCCTATTTATATTCTCGCCACTGCGTGGTACGCGCCCCTCGTAAAGATTATTAGTTACGGTCAGGCTTAGAATCACTGGACTGAAACATATTCTAGAGAAAATTAATTGCGCGACTTCGAGACGAGGACGCGTTATACGCTGACCGTGCTGTTTCAGATAATGGATGGACATCGTCGGCCAGATCCATGCTGTCCAAGCTTTACTAGCGAACAAATTGAGCTCCTCCCACTCTTTCGATGTTGTTGAGGAAATCAAGAATCTAACGAGCGAACTTCGGTAACACAAAAAGTTTCATTTCCTTTTGAAACTTCGCTATTTTGTAGGAGAACCCAAATGTTTAAAAGGCTAGGGCAAATAAAAGTAAAAAGATTAATTAATTTTCGACAGAGGTACTCAAACATGCAAATTTCTTATAGAAAGAAAACATATGTTCTAATATATTATACATACGGTGATTCACGAGAGTATTCGTACACACCTCCCGAACTGCCGACTTTGAACGACTGATATATGTTTACAATGCAAATTACAAAATTATTATCAACAGGAATATATTGGAATTACGAAGCTTTCAAACTTATATAAACTTTAGTTAAAGACGACATGTCAGTATAACAAAAATGTAATTTTACGTAAACCGGAAGAAAATTGCTCTCACAAGAGTATTCATACAAGTTATACTAATAATACAATTAATGTATTAATAATTAAGTCTCCTGAATTCCTTTGCATTTTATAATACTTTTGAGATGATCAGGCATTACGACAACTTAATTCATCGGGCTTGTAAGACCAATTTTCTTCCTGTTTACGTAAAATTACATTTTTGTCATGTTCACATGCTGTTTTACAATACAGTTTACATAAGTTTGAAAGCTTCGTAATTCGAACATGCAAGTACTGTTGATAAGAATTTTGAAACTTGTACTTTAAACAAATAGCAATCGTTTATGTTTGGTAGTTCAAGAGATACGAATACTCTTGTGACTCACTGTATGTGAAAAAGTAGAATTTGGAAAACTGTCAATGATTTTAAAGTCTTTGAAACGATTCCATTTGAAACCACTTGATTTCCGAATGAAATTATTTCTTATCTTTTACCATTTCCTTTTGAAATTTCGCTATTTTGTAGAAGACCCCAATAGAAACGGTCATTTTGTTCAACTACTGAATCTATATTCAAGAGGTTGGGTTGAATAGTATTTGTTTACAGTGATTGCTCAACTATTAATTAATTTTCGACAGAGGTATTCAAACATGTAAATTTCTTACAGAGATAAACGTATGGTCTAATATACATACGTAAAAAGGTAGAATTAAAAAATTAGCAATGATTTTGAAGTTTTTGAAACGCTTCGATTCGAAACCACTTGATTTTTCAGAATGAAATTTTTGTTTATCTTCTACCATTCTAAGGTTGTTTTTCTTTGTTATTATTCATTGTAAATAAATTCGAACTGTTATTCTTATTAGCTTCATAAAAAACGGAAATCGAAATCGTGAATACTATATAAACAGCATGTCTTAAAGCGTAAAACTACTTTGTTCTTTTATTCATTCCTACGACGAATTCCGAATGGTTGTGTATACAACGAATTTCGTATCCTCCTTGAAATAATGGGGCCGATTGCCGATCCATTTATAATTCGGAAAAATTGGGAACGTTATGCTTCATCTGTTCACAATTGTGGGAATACATATTTGCTTTATCACGGCGCATACTTTTAATGCGGCCAAGTGTAAGATCGTAATGTCGGGCGTAAATTAATGTTTCACGTCGTAGCCAGTGTTTTCTTTGGCGGGAGCCATGGGGCAGGGAGCGAATTTCGTAAATTTCCACGAACGTGCAAGCACTTTTTTAGTCGTCAAAGAAAACAGGGACCGCAACGATACGGATGTTGCGCGAACATCCACCTACGCCTTTCCATATATTATACATCACGTGGCGACTTCGCGTTTGTACCTCTAGTATTCGCCGCCACAGCATGATGACACGTGTGCTCATTTTCCACAAACCTCTAGATACTCATTCATTAAGATATTAACCTACCGATTGCCAAAGATTGATTTTCATTTTGCACGGGCAAAAATGTTGGAAGTCGTTATTTGTAATTAAACAGATGCCAGAAAAATAATAAAATAAGATTTTCTTGAAAAATTTGAATGTTCTTTGTGACATGTATTTATAATAAGAAGGGTATAATATTTATGTGATATTTATCTAATATTTATGTAGTATTATTAATATTTATATAATATTTATGCAATACTATTTATATTTCTTATATAATATATTTATGACGCGGACAGTGACGAGGTTAAATACAAATGTATCATCCTTGGATTCAGAATCGTAGATTTTATTTGTTTGCTTTCAATGGAAAGAAAAATTGGAAAAATAGAGAATAGTTGTATGTATGAAAATATTATAAATAAATTCTACTTTCTATGCATTTATGGCGTATCCAAATCTGCAGAATAAAATAGAATTTTTAATGGAGAAAAAGTTTTATTTAATTGCCTCGTTAACAGCTATGATTTCCATATTCCAACTAATGAAACATTTGAACTATGCAGTTTGCATGTTTTTTAAGCCAGTAATTTCAATACTTGGTACCTTGGTACTTTGTAATGGTAACTGACACAAGGCTACTTTTATTCCAACAGTAATGTCATTTGCACAATCACTTGACTGGGAATCAATCGAGCTGTGTGATATACGACGCTAACGAATTTATT